CCCCACCGAGTCGTGGTTCCGATTCATGCAATCGATCGCACTCGGCCGAATAACGGGGATACACATGTGGATCACCCTGTGCTGGTCGCTGGCAAGGTGTTAAAAAATAACTTGAAAATGTTCGTCGATGGAGGGGCCAGCCATAGCCTCTTCAACTTGGCGAGCGCAAAAAAATGCAAGCTGCAACTTGACAGGTGTCTGCCCGAAATTGACGCCCGCCTCGTGGATGGGACGCCTCTGGCGATAACGGAAGAAACACAGACGGTCAGGATCGACTGCGGCGACGATTTCGGCTTCAGCATGAAGTTCCTCGCGACAACACTGGACGGCTGCGACGTACTGCTGGGACGTGATTGGCTGCGACGGCACAACACCGTCATCGACTGGACAACGGGATCGTGCAGCATCAACAAGCACGAGGGGCTAATTAAGTTGCCTGCATGGACACCTGACTACATCCAAGCCCCGTGCGTCAAAGCTGTCACTATAGCTCGCCACTTCAACAGGGGCGCGCAGCTGTTCGCTGTCTGCTTACGCGAGTTGGCGGTTGACACCGACGGAAAGGACATCGGAAGCTGTGTGCAGCTGTACCACCGGATTTATCGGAGCTGATTCGGAGGTACCCCGACATTTTCCCCGACGATCTGCCACCTGGACTGCCACCCGAGAGACCTGAGGACCACAAAATCCAGCTGGAACCTGGCGCGCAGCCGACTGTTCGGACACAGTGGCGGTTGACCCAGCCGGAACTCGAGGAGCTGCGAAGTCAAATTGATGCACTGTTGGAGAAAGGGTTCATTCGGGCCAGCACATCTCCCTTCGCAGCACCGATCCTGTTCACTCCGAAGAAGGACGGCGGGCTTCGCATGTGCATCGACTATCGCGCGCTGAACCGGGTCACCATCAAGTCTCGCTACCCAATCCCACGCACCGACGACCTCCTCGACCAACTTCGCGGCACTCGCTATTTCTCGAAGATTGACTTACGTGGCGGTTACCACCAGATTCGAGTCTTCGCCGACGAGTGTCACAAGACTGCGTTTCGCACACGCTACGGGAGTTACGAATTTACAGTGATGCCTTTCGGTCTCACGAACGCGCCTTCGACATTTCAACTCACCATGAACAGGGTTTTCCGGGATCTTCTAGACCGATGTGTCATCGTCTACTTGGACGATATCCTGATTTTTAGCAAGACAAGAGAGCAACACCTCCGCGACCTGGATGCAGTGTTTAAGCGGCTGCAGGAGAACCGACTCATCACCAAGGGCTCTAAGTGCGAGTTTTTTAAGCAGGAGTTGGAGTTTTTGGGGCACGTTATATCACGCGAAGGCATTAAAATCGACCCGGCAAAAATCAAGACCATACAGGAGTGGAAGTCCCCGACGAATATCACGGAACTGCAGAGTTTTCTGGGGTTCGTGAATTACGTCAGGCGGTTTATCCCGAATATGGCGGGGATAACCGGCCCGCTGACTGACCTGCTGCACAAGGACAGGAATTTTGTGTGGGGGGAGGAGGCAGAAGCGGCTTTCCAGGAACTCAAGAATTTTCTCGTTTCCCCTCCTGTGCTGCGCATCGCCGACCCATCGAAGCCGTTCGAAGTCGTAACCGACGCCTCTGATTTCGCCATCGGAGCTGTGCTACTCCAAGATTTCGGGGACGGGCTGCAGCCAATCGCTTACGAATCCCGCAAGCTGCAGGCAGCCGAACGCAACTACCCGATCCACGACAAGGAGATGCTCGCCATAATCCACGCATTCAAACTGTGGCGCTGCTACCTGGTGGGCGCCGACGTCACTGTTCGCACGGACCACAAGTCCCTACAGTACCTGCGAGCCCAGCCCAACCTCAACCCGCGACAAATTCGGTGGCTGGACTACATGGAGAGCCACTTCACCACCGCATCACGTACAAGAAAGGGGCGAATAACATCGCCGACGCCCTGACCCGACCGACAGTACAATCCGCTGCAGTACTCATTACCCATTCGAACCCATTACTTACCGGACTATTCACCCGCGGCTACACTACGGACCCGTTCTTCACGGCTGGGAACCACCAGCAGGCCACGACGCAAAAAAGGGATTATTACCTAAAAGTCGGAACCGACCGGATTTGGGTTCCCGCTTACAGGCTGCTGCGTGAACTCCTTATCCAGGAGGTCCACGATTCAAACTTCTCCGGACACTTCGGGGTTGACAAAACCCAGAAATTACTGCACCGTCAATATTATTGGCCTGATTCCTCTAACGACGTGCAACGATATGTGTCCTCATGCAGGGTGTGCCAAGCCATGAAATCGACACGTCAACGACCAGCTGGGCTGCTGCAACCCCTCGAGCCACCCGAACGACCGTGGCAGCAAGTGACAATGGATTTTGTCACGGGGATGCCAGCTGGGCCGCCCGGCAACGACGCTGTACTCGTCGTCGTCGATCGCTTCACGAAGATGGCGCATTTTGCCCCATGCCGAACAACAATCACAGCCGAAGGAACTGCGCGCCTCTTCATCCCAACGGTCGTGCGACTGCACGGCATCCCTTCAGCGATCATCAGCGACCGCGACCCGAAATTTACATCAAAATTCTGGAAGGAGACGTGGGGGCAGTACGGCACGAAACTACAGTTCTCATCGGCATATCATCCACAAACAGACGGCCAGACCGAGCGGACCAATCAGACCATGGAGCAGCTGATCAGGACAAACTGCCCCGACCCTGCCCGCTGGGAAGAATCACTCGCCATGTTGGAGTTCGCCTTCAACAACGCCCCATCCAGTACGACTAATCACTCCCCATTCTTCTTGAATTACGAGATGGACCCGACAGTGCCTACGGCAACTACCATCGACAACCCGGTCCCGAGGTCACAAACTTTTGTGACGGAGCTTCAGGAAGTCCGCGAAAAAGCCGCAGACGCAATTCGCAAAGCGAATATCACTTCCCGAAAATACACCGACCTTCTACGCCGGGAACTCATCTTGACCACTGGGCAACTAGTGCTACTTGACACGAAGAACCTGCATCTGCCCGGCCCGTCGAAATTACGGCCACGGTTTTGTGGGCCTTTCAAGATTATCAAGATGGTGACACCTGTCACCGCGAAGCTGCTGCTACCCGACGACTGGCGCATTCATGACGCCTTCCACGTCAGCATGCTTCGCAAATTCGTGCCAGCCACGACCGACATCGCGAGGCAACAAGCTGCCCCCACTTCCCGACCTGTACCGGAGCCGACTCTTGACCCGTCAAAGATTTTGGCACATCGGGTTCGCCTTGACGCAGCTGGTCGCCACGTGGATTTCCTCGTCCGTTGGACTGACCGCACCAGTGAAGACGACACGTGGGTGTACTCCGACTCACTCAACGCCTCGTCACTTGTTGGTGATTACTTGGCACGACGGCGTGTTTCGGACATTGACCGCCTTTCTTAAGGGGGGGGGTAGTGTAAGGAATTTTCCCGAATTCCTTATCGGGGTTGACTGCTTCGCGTACAGCCCAATTTTCGGACTTCGCACGTTCGGCCGATTTCAACGCTGCCGAGGCTCCTCGCGTAGCCTTCGGCATTTCCCAATCGCCAAACCTGCACCCAACCTCGCTCGTCCGAGGTTCCCTCCTAGCTAGGCTAGCCCCTACATTAGTCCGTGCCTTCATTGTATTCTCAGATCAGTTAATCACTGTCTCGTTATTCGTTTACCTGCGCACTCTCTTTTACAACTCATAACATAGCTGGACATGCTAACGTTTGGAATGTATTGCAATAGCTAGACATGATGATCTTAAAAAACTTGTTAGTGCCATCTTAATCATGTTATAATGTTTTTAGAAAGCCCTATAAAGTTGGTTAGAAATAATGTCTTATGGAAACGTATAAAAAACCAACTTAACCAAAGGGATGCGCTTATAATAAGTACAGGATTCAAAATGGGTGCGCTTATAATTGAGTACCGGTCATAAGCGCATGGCTCCAGATAGAAGCGCCGGCGCTTTTAATCGGACGGCGCTTATATTTGGGGTGATACGGTATGTACCCTATACTCAGAACCTCACTGTAGCCTAGCAACGTAACAAACATATAAATAACATTTGGCAGTTCGGCCCAACTCAAGGAGTCATTATTTTGGCAGTTCTTTGTTTTGTAAAGCTGCACTGTATCGTTCAACATCGCGTCACGTTTGGCGAGACCCCTTTCCCCCTCGTCAACCCATCTATTTCTCGCTACACTTACTTTGCCGAAATTCTTGTTTTCAAGGTTTCGCTAACACTATTTCAAACCCACATAACTTGAAAAATTACCATGCTGACCTCGGGCTTTAAACACTTGTGAAAACTGGACGATCTAGCGTATAAAAGGAAAAAAAATGCCAGTATAAAAAGCTATCGAAGTCAAAGAATCACGTCTAAAACTCAAACAGCCAAGTTCTGTCTGAATATGGGGACCCTGGTCATAAGGGTATTTCACCCTTCTAACCTAGGGCATGATCCCTAGGTTCTTATATGCAGGAGATTATGGCATTTAAGAGTCAATTTAAAATGAGGACACGCAGATAAACTTCGCACTTATAGTTCCAGAGCAAGACCTATCATTATAGTCGGAAAACTGAGCAATTGCCGTTGAGGTAGCTCCACGATAAAAGCGGTAAGCAGCTGAACATGCCATGGACGGCTGAACTGGCTTGACCCTGCCCTTCTTGCACATGCCCAAAGTGAAGGACCAATAGGTTGCTCTGAGGCAAATCTGATATCACAATATGCACGGACAAACGCAAATTAGGATTTACGAGAACCAGACTTGCGAGACCTGGCAAGGAACACAAAATAGAGGCAAGGGCGATGAGGTACTTTAAGGCCATGGAAATGGCAACGAGCGTACTGCAGTGTTTACACCAAGGTCTTCAAATCTCACAAACAATCTCATTCCGTGCACATAACGCAACCACCTTTGTCCACCTACTGCTTGCCTTCCCATCCCTCCCTCTTCCACCACCGCACCATACCCTACTGCCCCCCTCCCTTCCTCCACATGCTCCCCCTCATAGCCCTCACCTGTACGCCAATATTGCTGCCAACAGAGGAGGCAGATGAAGGGATGGTGGCGGAGCATGTAAGGCCAGGATTGTTGCGGTACACCTCCGGCCACGAGACCCCCCCGGCACTAGTGGTCCTCAGCTTGTCGCATGTGTCTTGCGCTGTGAGCTTGCCGTACTGCAGACACTGAGGCACCGTGTAGGCGAAGGTAGAACTGCGCTCGAGGCACACAGAGCGACCCACCTTAATGGGCTCGGAGCAGTCAAGGCCGGGGTTGAGTGAGGCGAGGTCCTCATCAGTTGACTGGAGCTGTGTGCTGATGGATGAACATGTGTCCCCCTGCAGGGTTGAAGAGAGAAAGGGATAGTGTGGTTGCAACTTGCTCACTGGCATCCACAATGACTGGGCAAGGTGGTTGCGTGCATGGTGTGTTGTGACAAAGAGGGCAGAAGGTCTCACGTTGAGGGTGTAGAAGAAGGCAGTGCAGGGTGTGGCGGGAGAGTCATCCAGGTGAAGGACACTGCCCTTTGGCAATGGCTGGCTGCAGTCGATGCCCTGCATTGCAAAACACGCTTATAAGTGAGAGGTGCTTGCCAAAGTCCAAACGGGCAAGGCCTCCTCTCCTTGGCGGGTCCTAGAGGGTGCCGTTCTCACACTGTACTACTACCCGAATTGGAATTCTAGGATTCTTCATGTGAACAAAGGAACTGATATTGTCTATTCTGGGCTGATAAAATGAAACCAGGATGTAAGTCTCAACAATGATCAAGGTTGATACGCTGTCCAATCAAATCATACCAGGACCGGGTTGATAGTACTAACGGGCAAAGTGAAGCGAGGGAAGCTGAATGGAGGCTAGCTCATAGTCCTGATCCAACTCTGCCCACCTCATTCCCCCCACCCCCTCTTCACCCGGTCCTTACTGCATTCTGAAGAGTGAATTTATCCAGTGAGAGGCCAACAAGTTGATGAACATCAGAGCACATCCAGTTGTCTCCACTGACTGCCATCGTGGTGGCTGTGGTGCTCGCTGCAGACAGGAAAAGAGGAGGAACAGGCAGTGAGGAAAGGAAGGAAGAGGAGCGAGTGAGGAGAAACAGGTGACACGGGCCCCATCACGCATTGCTCGAAGCAAGTATAGGCGTCTTGCAACCACAATGCACTGGAGGTTAAAACAAAAGACAGACTGGCATATGTCGAGCCACCAAATTGAACGTGGTATCACCTGGATCGCAGGTGGGGAAGGCGTCAACAGTAGTGCTCTGCAAGTGGTTGGGAGGGCAGATGCACGAGTAGGCGCCCTTGCCATCGTTGATGCATGCTCCCACGTAGCAGGGGTTCTTGAAGTATGACCCACTGGCGCAGGTTTATCAGGATGGCGTATGGTACAGAGATTGGAGGGAGATCGGGTAAAGAGAGGGAGATTTGGGGAGAAGAGAGAGGGGATAGATAGAAGAGAGGGGGGATATGGGGAAGAAGAAAGGGGGGATATGGGGAGAAGGGGGAATGTGGGGAGAATAGAGGGGGATATAAATGGGGAGAAGAGAGGGGGGACAGGGGGAGAAGAGATGGGGGATATGAGACTCCATGGCCGCGAAAGAAATCAGGGCTGCACACCTCAGATGCCGGAGGACCTCCTACACATTGTGGAAGCGGGAGAGGATGATGTAAAGCACATTCACAATGTGAGGTCCGTTCGCATCTGAGAGAGATTTCTTGTGACTCCCCTCGTTGCTGTGCGTTCTTGCCTGCTCTATTCACCACATTCACATTCATATAAGGGCATGGAGGCTTTCGCACGGTCCAAAAACCAGACATAAACTTCAATGTGGGACCAATTTTGTAAACTCGGGCTTTCACTTGCAATCGATCTTACCGTAAGCACATGAGTTGGAGCCATATCCATTCTCAGCCTCAACAAAGGGCTGCACGGTAGCGTTAGGAAGACTGCAGGTGCAATTATTGCTGCCTTCTGCCGTCCCCTGGCACTGGAACCGGCCGCAAGGGTTCATGCTGGGCTGCAAATCTCCATCGCCTTTGTAGCTGCTTTGGCCGCAGGGGTCCCCTGGAACTGGAAGGTGACAAAGAGGAGACACATAAACACACGAAGGTGGAGGCTGGACAACCATAGCAAACAAACAAGTGTGAAGAGAAAATACCAGGGAGCTCGTGCAACATCAATAGATCACTCGAGAGCTTGCAGACAGAGTGAAACAAGGTCGGTTTTTCCGTGCCGTTGTTGCAGTCCTTTGGCTTGTTTAAGTTGCTTAGCTTATTTCTACTAGGTGTGTTGATTGTCTACACTCTATTTCTACATAAAAAAGGAAACCTCACTCGGCGGCTTAAACGAACTGGTGCACTATTGCCACTGATGATGAGACTATCGAAAATCACCAATGATGAGATCCTATGATAGGGATAAGCAAGAGACCGAGCTGGAGGCTTGGCTCATCAGCTTGTCGACTCTCGCGCAACATTTTAACGAGCTGACGTCCGGCTTGACTAGTCGAACCGGGCCTGGCTAGAGCGGCAAAAGAGCTGCCACGGTCGCGACGTTCATATCTACGCGAATCTGGTGGTGAAATTCCATATCCGCGCTGCTGCAGAGGAGCAGGAGACTGAGGCACCGACACACTCGGCTGTGCTGGTGCTGTGGTGGCAGTGTCACGTCAACGTCATCAACCGCTGCCGAACGTGGCGCAAATGGCTCAGTCGGCCCGCTAATCACCCGAGCTCGTCGCGACCCCACTCGGCTCGCCTAATATGGCTCAGTCTTTACCTAAGTTGGAAAAAAACGCGTTTTGCGCTTTGTACGCTCTCGTATAAACGCTAGAGTATAAACGCAAAACGCTGGCCATGAGGGGTCTGGTACGCACAAGAATCCGCCTGCCCGGGCAGGAAAAAACTTTTTCCCGAGCAGATTTTTGGGGTAAGAGGTGGGGATGGGGGGGTTATGTGACCCCCATCCCCATTTTATTAATATGAAAGTTACAGAAAATAAAAACCCTTATAACTGATCTAACACTACAACTTCCTCCACCACATACATGATACCACCCCTCCCCCTACTTTACAGGTCCTTAATCCCCCGCCTGCCGCTCATGCATGGAGCCTTCCACTAGTACTCATCGGCCATCACTTCGTCCTCCCCCTCCTCAGGCTCCTCCACCTCCTCCTCGACGTTGTAGCCAGCCGGAGTGGGGGGTCCTCGATGTTCCCCCTCACCACCCCTTGCCCTTCAGGGACCTTGTGCCAGTTGTGCACAACCTGCCAGTCGTACACGAGATCCCAGTGCTTCTCCGAGCCGAGGCAGTTCCGTCTTGCCGTGTGCACGGCATCAAACTTCGCCCAGTTCCGCTCACATGGTGACGCGGACACCGGCTGAGTGAGGACGCGGCAAGCAAGCGTGGTGAGCTCGGGATAGTCGGTCCCGTGCCACGTCCACCAGGCGACCGCGGTCATCTTGCCCTCCTTCACTGCCTCACGGTTGGCAATAGCGTCGGGCATGCCGAAGCTGCCTTGGAGGTTGAGGAAGGCAGTGAAGCCTTCTTGGATGACGAGGGAGGCGCGGCGCTCGACCCCGTCCTTCCTGGTGACTGTTTTGTCGTCGTAGTGCAGGGACACGAACTGCTTGAAGACCCTCGTGCACTCCAGGTCAGAGCGGAAAATTCCCTCTTCCTGGTTGGTCGGGTTGAGAATGCGGTCAACCACGTGCATGTTGCACGCCAGCCAATTCTCCTAACGGTCCTGCACGATCTTCCGAACCTCCCCCACCTCTCCCCTTGACAGGACCCCTTCCGCATGCTCGTCGAGACGGTCGCGGATGTCCTCGGTGAGCTGGAGCATGAGGTCGTAAAGACGACCCATCATGCCCTTCGCATCCGAGTCCGTCTTGCACATGACGACGTACGGGAGATCCAGCAGCTTCACGAAAAACTCCGCGCGCTTCCACCACGGGGCATCGAGGATGGTGTCGTAGAAGGTATGTGCCCATGCCCTCCTTGCGGCCGTTGTCCAGTCGCGCCAGTCCTCGCTGAGGACCATCCACATAACTTGGGAGATTTCAGAGTTCAAGCTCCGCCTTGTACCTGCACAGAAGCATGCATACTGACCGAACCGACCAACGCATCATTTTCTCTGTATATATACAGTGAGTACCATATATCTTTTGCTTTTCCACTAAATCATACCATTTCCCACCCCCCTATGAGGTTCTAACCATTTGTATCTATGTAATTTGACAGATATAGACATTCTAGTCGTGCATGGTACCTGCACTACAGGCGCTCATACCGACCAAACTGACCAGCGCATTACTTATGTTTGTAGAGATGCAGTTAGTACCATTTTCTTGCCATTTCACTAGATTAGGCCTTCTACTTCAACAACACTAGGTTCTAACCATTTGTATCCACATAATTTGGGAGATTTCAGAGTTCCAGCTCCTCCTTGTACCTACACACAAGCGTGCATACTGACCGAACCGACCAATGCATCATTTTCTCTGTATAAATACAGTGAGTACCACTACCAGGATCTAACCATTAGGATCTGTGTAATTTTCCAGATATAGGCATTCCAATCGTGCATGGTACCTGCACTACAGGCGCGCATACCGACCAAACTGACCAGCGCATTACTTATGTTTGTAGAGATGCAGTTAGTACCATTTTCTTGCCAGTCCACTAGATTAGGCTTTCTATTCAACAACACTAGGTACTAACCATTTGGATCCTTAATTTGGGAGATTTCAGAGTTCCAGCTCCGCCTTGAACCTGCACACAAGCATGCATACTGATCGAACCGACCGAAGCATCATTTTCTCTGTATAAATACAGTGAGTACCATACATTTGTTTTTCCTTTTCCACTAAATTATACAATTTCCCACCTCCCTACCAGGTTCTTACCATTTGGATCTATGTAATTCGCCAGATACAGGCATTCCAGTCATGCATGGTACCTGCACTACAGGCGCGCATACTGACCAGCGCATTACTTATGATTGTAGAGATGCAGTTAGTACCATTTTGTTGCCAGTCCATTAGAATAGGCCTTTGTCTTCAAGAACACTAGGTTCTAACCATTTGGATCCACATAATTTGGGAAATTTCAGAGTTCCAGCTCCGCCTTGTACCTGCACACAAGCGTGCATACTGACCGAACCGACCAACGCATCATTTTCTCTGTATAAATACAGTGAGTACCATATTTTTTTTTCCCTTCCCACTAAATTACACCAATTCTTACCTCCCTACCAGGATCTAACCATTTGGATCTATGTAATTCGCCAGATATAGGCATTCCAGTCGTGCATGGTACCTGTGTTGAGTGCAATATATGGTTTGCACGGCAACCTACCGCCTATTCGCCGACGGTAATGGAAAATGGGGGAGTTTTGTTTGAAGGTAATTTGTGGCGTGAGAGATGTGCACTTCATTTTGCATTTTGTGTGTGCGCATTTTGTGTGTGTTCTGTGCGCACTCGCCTTATTATTTTGTGTGTTTTGTTTTCATTGGTAATTGCATTTTGTGTTTGTGCATTTTCATTTTCGTTTTCACTGTTCTCATGAAGCGCTCAAATGAGGCTCACATGATGCGCTCAAATGAAGCTCTCATGAAGCGCTCAAATGAGGCTCCCATGACGCGCTCAAATGAAGCTCTCATGAAAGCTCAAATGAAAGCTCTCATGAAGCTCAAATGAGCCTCAAATGAGCTTCCCATGAATGTCCCATTTGTTTTTCATGTTTCATGCGTGTCCCATGCGAGCGGGTGGTGTACAGGGCTCACGTTAGCAGGGCATTACCCTGTTTTGACTTAAATTATAGGGCTTTTTTCAGTCCAACCCTGATTTTCACTAGGTGATTTTTAAGCCAGCCCGTAAAACTGAAGGGTGATTTCTTGAGCAACTCGGATCCTCCGGGATGTTTCTGAGGGGACCCGTATAGTTTTAGCAACACTTGTTGAGAAGAAACGAGGAATGAATTCACTAAGGGAAAGTTGGGTACAAATGTGAACCCTAGAAAACTGTACCCCATATGGGCTACCCCACTATAGCCTACAGTAGCTATGTCATATAAATCTGACACACCCCCATAGGCAAAGTGGGGGAGAACAAGGGGTCACAAGACCAGTCAAGCAAAGCAAAGCAAGCTCAGGGTGGATCACAAAGTCACCACACATTTCGAGCACAAGTTCAAGGCCACAAGGCCAGTTCACATGCAGGATTACATATATATATAAGACTAGACAGGCAAGAGCAGGTGTATATATATATGAATCAGTACAAACAAGGTCAAGGGGTGAGCAAGTGAGGCAAGGTAGGCACAAGACCCAGCTGAGTACAGAAGCGCTGATGATCACAAGGCGCAAGTGCCTTGGTGAAGATATCAGCAGTGTTGGCCTGAGAGGCCACGTACGCAAGCCGCAGCTGACCACGCTGCTGTAGCTCACGAGCAAGGAAGTAGCGGAGAGCAATGTGCTTCGTTCTGTGTTCCAGACTCTGCTCTCGACACAAGGCCAGCATGGCCTTGTTGTCTACGTACAGCACTGGAGGAGAACGAGGCGGCTCTCCGAGGTCAGTCAGCAGGTAGGTGAGCCAGCGAAGCTCCTGTGCAGCCATGGCCCCGGCGTAGATCTCAGCCTCACAACTGGAGCCGAGAACAGAAGACGAGCGGGTAGCCCGCCACGAAACAGAGCCGGAACCAAGGCTGAAGGTGTAACCCTGTGACGACCGCTGCGTAGCCTGGTCGTCAGCCCAAGAAGCGTCTGCGTGCCCAGTGAGGACCACTGGACTCTGCCCTCCAAGCACAAGCCCCATGCCCGACGTACTGCACAAGTAACGCAACACCCTCTTCGCTGCAGCCATGTGCTCCGGTCAGTGTCTCCCAGGAGCAACATAGCGTGCGAGAATGCTAAGAGGGTATGCGAGGTCAGGTCGTGTGCAGGTCATCAGGTACATGAGGCAGCCAACAAGCTCTGGGTACAGGCCACTCGACTCTACGGACTCATCCGAAGGCAGAGCTGAGAGCGAGTGGCGAGTAGGCAGAGGAGTGGCCTGAGGCGAGGAGTACGTGAAGCCGAAGCGCTGAAAGACCTGCTGCACCATGTGTGACTGAGTCAGGGTAATGGTGCGGCGTGCTCTGTCCCGGGTGATCTGCAAGCCAAGGTAGCTGCGCAGTTCACCCAGGTCTGTGCACGTGTGTCTCTTCTGCAGCTCGGACTTCACGTGGGCGAGTCCAGCAGTGTCAGCTGTGGCAAAGACCAAGTCGTCGACGTACACGAGGATGTAGAACGGCGGCAAAGAAGTGTCGGTGCGCAGAAACAGCGACGGGTCGGCAGTAGAGGGAGCAAACCCAAGAGCCGCAAGTGTAGTCCTCAGTGTGTCGTGCCACTCACGCGGTGCCTGGCGGAGACCGTAGACTGGCCGCCGGAGGCTCCACTGTGTGCCAGGAGGAAAAGACCCAGTGAAGCCAGGTGGGCGACGCAGCCAGATCTCCTCGTGCAGGCTGCCCTGCAAGAAAGCAGTGCTGAAGTCAAGAGAGTGCAGCTCGTAGTCGCGGTGAGCAGCTATGTGCAGCAGTACCCGAAGAGTGGTCATCTTCGGGGTGGGAGAGAAGGTCTGAAAGTAGTCAACTCCCTGCCGCTGACTGAAGCCACGAGCCACGTAACGCGCCTTGAAGACAGGCGGAGAACCCGGCGGTCGCTTCACCCTGAAAATCCACATGCCACTGACGATGTTCGCCCCAGGCGGGGGAACCTCGTCAACGTAGGTGCCTGTGGACTTCCAGGAAGCCATCTCTATGTCCATAGCTGCCTGCCACTGAGAGGAGTAGGGACCCTCTATCGCCTCCGCGTAAGAGCGCGGAGTCGGGATGTCAAGTGCATCCGGGTCTCCCTCAGGGGTAAGCAGTACGGACACGAGATGAGGTGAAGCAGCAGCCAAACACTGGAACTCCTCCTGCCTGTCCTCAAGGACGTCCGTGCCAAGGGCACATCCACCCCCGACGGACGGAGGACAGACAGACTCAGACTCAACGACAAGACTAGCAGCGTAGTCTAGACGACAGCGAGCAGCAAAGTCGACGAGCTCAGCAACTAGGGCAGACGCAGCAGTGGACTCAAAGGAAGGGTCAGTGACGACAGTAGCAAGGAGACGCGTGACAGTAGGACTGGCAGCACGAAGAGAGTCCGACTCCGGGTCGGGAAGAGCAGGAAGAGAGGACTCAGGAGGAGAAGGCAAAGGGGCACGCAGAGGAGCAGTGGACGGACGCAGAGACATCCGGTGCGTGCCAGGGACAGGAGGAGGACGCTGACGCGAACCACGGCCACTAGTGCGAGCAAGACGGACAGGCGACGCAGGGCGAGACGCAGGCTCACGACGCTCAGCCAGACCTCCAGTAGGACCAGTGTAGGGAGAAGGAGCGGGCAGTGTGGAGGCCGGCTGTAACTGTAACTGGGACGGGACAGGCTGTGGACACTCTAAGGGAGGAGGAGGACCAGTAGAAGGCGGGAGACCAAGAACCTGCTGAAGGAGCGGAACGAAGTACGGCCGAGGCCGCGCGGCGACTCCAGACACAGCAGGGACAGCACCAGTACCCCCAGCGGCAGCACCAGCGCCAGCAGCACCTCCAGCTCCAGTACCTCCAGCAGCACCAGTAGCACCCCCAGCAGGACCGCCTCCAGGACCGACAGCAGTAGCCTCAGCGCCAACACCCTCAGCAGCTCCAGCTCCAGTCGTACCCGCAGGCCCAGCAGCTCCAGTACTCCCAGTACGAGCACCTCCGGGACCCGCGGCACCAGCACCCTCAGCAGTCGAAGAACCTCCAGCTCCAGCAGCACGCCTCCAGCGCCGGGCAAACCACTCTCGCAGCTCCAGTGGAGAGAGTGGCTCCCGCCGAGACGAAGCACCCGGAGAACCTCCAGGCTCACCACCGCCAGACGCCACATGAGCAGGCCCAGCTCCCTCAGGCTCCGCACCCCCAAGCTCAGCACCTCCAGGCGTAGCACCCCCAGGCTCAGCACCCCCAGGCGTAGCACCCCCAGGCTCAGC